TATTCCTAAGTAACTCATATATTTTATGAGATTCTGAACAGTATTAGATCTTAGTTTCAAGTTCTGGTTGTGAGTTAGGGCAGAGAGGATGTCCTGAGAGATTGGAAGAGAGTATTAAAAAATGCCCTCTCAGTGGCAGTGAGAGGTACTCCATGGCAGTTGGGGGTTGGAGTCTGTCCCTTCCCCACTCTGGTCCTGCTACCTTAACTTGGAAGAATGTACTCAGGGTTTCTTTTGGGCCATCTACTTCCAGGACAAAATTAAGAGCCTGCCCCAGGACCCTGGGTAAGGACAGAGTCTTTGAGACGTGGTCAGCAACCCCTGTAGCACCATAAGATGCATGTGTGGGTACATGGAGAAGATTTTTTTTCATTTATTTTTAGATAGGAAACCATACGCTGTGTATCCAACCTTTGTGTGATTTCACAATTAACGCTTAGATGAGGCTAAAGTTCAAAATATAAAAAAGAGTGACCTTAAAGACAAACATTAAGAAAAAAGTTGTACAGGTAATTCAGACAAATTCTGTAGGTGTTTGGAAATGAKAATGATTTGGTAAATATTTAAATAGGGAATAATACCTCTAAGGAACAAAAGAAGAAAAAAAAAAGAGAAGGGAAGTCATTATTCTGTTTTCAGGTGCTGTGAAAACGACATTCATCATCATCATCTCCTGGGCCCCTGCTCTATCTAAAAAACTATACACATTATCTCATTTAACTTTCAGAGCAATCTTGGAGGTCAGTAATTACTATTCCTGTGTTAAAAATGACACAAACACACACACATACACACACAAAAAAAACTGAGGCAGAGAGAGTATGAAGACTGAGGGAGCGTGTTTGGGTGGAGAGGAAAGGATTTTGAGTGTGACCTCACGTTCCAACACTACCTAGAGGAAAAGGAGGAGGGAGGGAGAGAGGAGGAGGAGGAGAGGGAGGGGGAGGAAGAGGAAGAGGCTCTTCCTGAGTAGAATGGGCTGCTTGCTGCATGTGAGGCTGTGCCTCGCAGTCATAGGAGGTTGCTGGCTACAGCACTGACACCCTTATTGCAGGACGGGTCCAAGCTGGCCTCCTCTGTCACAGAGATTCTGGGATATTTTTTCCTATTAATCTAGAAGTATCTGAGCCCATTATTCTTCCTTTGAGTTTCATGGTGAGATAGGGAGGGGCCTTTTTTGGCCCCTGAGGCTGCAGTGTCTGGTTCAGGTTCTTTAGATTTATTTCTGCCAATGGCCCTACCGAAAAAGTAGGAAACATGTGGTACTGCAGAGGGATGCTCTGGTCTCCGCCTTGACCAGGCACTGGCACTATCCTGCCATGTCACCTTGGGCAAGTCCCTTCCCTTCTGTGGACTTTCCTTCTCTACACTTTCCCCAAGTGTAAAGTGGCATAGTTAGAGGGTCTATGGGACTCTCAATGGCCACAGACCATCAGGGGTTACCTGTCATCAATCAGTCTCTCTCAGGTACCCAGCCTGGCACTCAGTGGATTTTTGTGCAATGCTAGTGAGTAAGTGGATGCATGAATGAACAGGTGCTTCATAACAAGTGGATAGTCAAGTAACATCATCACACAAACGTCACAGAGGACCCATCAGTGCCTAATGCCTGGGCACAGGCTGCAGGGCTGCAAAGCAGCATGGTACAATGTTGGAGGTGCATATTCCCGCCGAGCCATTRAAAGGTTGTATATTTATTATGATGCATTTCTGGAAAATGGCAATGAAGGGGCTTGGACAAGGGGTGTCTGTGTAGCCATTTGGGGCAGTCAGACCTTCAGGGACCTGGGGGAAGGAGATAATTTGGAAGGTGCTCCTGTTTACTACAAAGGGGAAGAAGGAGCTTCAGGCAACCCCCCGATAAGAGGAATATTAAAAACAGCACATTCATGTGAAAACACACACACACACACACACACACACACACACACACACCCCTAATCTGGGCATATGATGTGTACCCAAGAACGTACTAAAGAAAAACTGATTTGAGTTTAGAGAGATTTGATTTTATGCTAAACAAATTTCATCAGGATTTTCATATGAAGAGTCTTTTCCTCCCCAAATGTGCCCTGCCTGGCTGCATTTTAATATGATCAAATCCAATCTCCGAGTTCTCTGCAGGCCCTGCGACTAAGTTCTCAGGACTTGGCTTCTAGCTGCTGGCTGAGCTTGGGGGAGGCAGTTGCTGTGATTTCCACAGGACTGAACATCTCTCCCTGGAGCTTGGAGCACAAAGGAATGAAAGGCAAGGGTCAGAGGCCAGAGGCCAGAGAGACCCAGAAGGCCCTAGAAACTTGGTTGCTGGCATCAAAGGCCTCACATAGACCCTCTGTGAACTCCTACTGATGAATTTCAGCCTGTTAGTACAAGCAGTTCATCTGTCACCACTGAGTTCCTCTAAGTCCCACCAGGGCCCCTGGCCAGGTACCAAATTTCCCTGCCTCTAAGAGGTCCAGGTAGAAGGGTGACTGGACTGAAACACAAATATAAGATAACTGGCTCAATTTGAGCTTCCCGTGAATAACGAATATTGTGCCAGTATGTGTCTAAGAGAGGGCTAGGCCTGTCCACATGGAGAAATGGACACCACCTGAGCCTTAGGGCACACTCATTGAAGCCACCTCYTGGAAGGATTCCAGTGTCCATGCATGTCCTGTGCTTTCATAGCTGAACTTTGAGAGCCCTGCTCTCCTTTGTGCCTTTTGGTGACAGAGAGGAAGTTCCCCTCCCTGGCCTTTCAGAGGACATGGAGGCCCAGGGGAGGCCCAGGGTGAGCAATCTGTGATGCATGGGTGCAACACAGCATTTACTTACAAAGTACCCAAAGTTGAGACTTCCCTGGGGGGAAAGTGACTATGGCATTGCTCCTAAGGAATAGCATGGGGGCCTTGTCATCACTGAGGCAGAGTGAGATTGGAGACTGGTGTCACTGTTATTAGGAAGATTTTGTGGAAGTCCTTTCAGGTGGTGAGCTGAGCGCAAGTGCAATTCCTCCTCCTCAACCCCCTCCTGTTGCCGTCTGGAGCCCCAGAAGGGACTCCTGAGTCCACACTGCCCAGGACCACGACGTCTACTCTACACTGATGAATTCAGAATCTGTGGGGCTGGCGCCTGAGAGAGACTTCCATTCCAGGATGTTTCTGGAGCAACACAATCTATAGTGTGATCATCCCAGCTGTGGCCTCTGGAGCATTCAATTCTGCCTGCTGTCCTCACGCCTGCCTTCCCAGGGTCCCTTGCTGTCCCAGGGTCCTCATCCCTCTCACCAGCCTGGTCTTCTTTGACCTAAGGCTGTGAGCACAAGGACTACACAGCAAGAAAAAACACTGGTGAACAAAAGGGTATATGATAAATTGAACATCTGCATCAGATTGGGGGTAGGCAATCTATTGTTTGTTCCTCCTCCTACCATTTTATTGCTTTTATTATAAAACAAATTATTTTAATTTCATTATAAGTCTCATGATAGACACCAGAATCCCATTTTACAGATACAAAAACTGGGAACAAAATGTCAGAACAAACAAATGAGAAGACTCTCGTTACCTCTTCCACTTTAAGGCCCACTTGTTGGCACTATCATTTTAGCCCCAGGACCCCAACAAGAAAACCTCATCTCCCCATTTTCCACATTCCACGTGGGGCAGACAGAAGGGAAGAAGGCTTATTGAATGAGTGAACCAAAGACAGCCTTTCATCTGGCAGACCTTTCAACCCTGGATAAATGCTAGGAATTGTGTTCTGAAAAATGACAGCCAGCCCAGTCCTGATATTTATGACATGCTTCTTGGCCTTCCTGGGGAGTGGTGCWCTCTGCTCTTAAATTTATGGTCTTCTGGTGCAGTCCTAGGCTGGCTAGGGGATTGTAAATGGGCTGTTTGCTAATAATGTATGCAGATGGTGCAGGAGGTGGCATGATCCTTGGCCCTGGGGTCAGACAAGAGCCCTCCCCACCCAGGAAGTGGGTGCTCCAGTCCCACTGGAAGCATCTCCTCCTCCTCCTCCTCCTCCTCCTCCTCCTCCTCCTCCTCCATTTTCCCCTTTGCAAAGACCTCAAAGTTTATAGATAAATCAGTGTGCCCTAACCATCATCTCTCATTATTTTTGACATGGTTCCATATTACCCCTCCTTTCTTAATATTTATATTTAAAGTGACTCACTGCCCCCTAAAGGCTAGATGACCTACGGCCATAAAACACCAGGTGCATTCTCCAGCCATACCTGGGCCTGGGACAAATTGTTTGGAGACTCCCATGGGACCCTCTGCAGGGCTTGGGGAAATAGGGGAGGATTCGATTCATATCCTCACCTGCTCTTAGAAGGGAGACCTCTGAGAGGAGAGTCAAGGCTAGGGGGCTTAGCCTCCCTGAGTCCCCCTAAAGCTATGTGAGTTAGATTTTATTAAAGAAGCAGTGAATTTCCTTTCCAGGGGGTTCTGAAAGTCTTCAGGTGGGACGTTTCATTAGAATAAGCCTTTCAATGCCAGAGGACTGACCCAAGGGTGGCCCAGGTACTAGGAGATTCCTTAGAGGAGCACAAGTAACCACCCTACCTGCCATGCATTTTCAGAAGAACACAATTCATATAGCAGAGTATATCTCCCCAAGAAAAGCTAGATCAACATGTGGAATTTGATCTCTGTGTAAGGACAGGCTCTGGGAAGGAGATTGCCAAGCCAGAGCCTAGCTGGGATCCACTTCCTGCTGTGACTGGAGAGGTGGGCAGGCATGCCCAGATAGGGAGTGTCACCTAGTGACAGACTTCCCTACACATGCTCTGGGCAACACTCATGGCCACATACTATGGTTCAGCCACAGAGGCTGGGCCTGCTTAATAGTGGCCACTTACTCCCCATGGCTTTCCTGCCTTTCTAAGTATGGAGATGAAAATATCTGAGTGGAAAAGAGTGCCAATCTTAAACTCAAACATTCTTGCATTTGGAAAATAGTTGCTTTAATAAAATAGATAATATGACAGTTTCCATTAGTTTCCAATAATCAATCCCATGTTCTTCAGTGCAATAAGCCCTTGATAAGGTGAGTTGTATAATTTCACGTGCAGCTTGTCATTAACAGCTCACAGTTTCTAGCATGAATGTGTGTTCTTATCCTTCTTATAGAAGTCCCATGGACCAGAGAAATGGTTGGGGTGTAGAACACTGGTTGCCAGAGAGTCCTTTTTTGAGAACCTGAGCACATGAGGCCCTAGAAGCTCCCCTTGGGTACAGAGCCCACCGCCCTGTGCCACATCAGCTGCCTTCCGCCTGGCGCTGCTGCCCCCAGGGACACGTGGCTACTGTGCCAGAGCCTCTGCCACCTTTTTCCTCCTACCCCTCTGCAGACCAGCAGAATATTCTTCCCTTCTCATCGCCAACCAGGAGCTTGGTCTGGTTTCTTGGGAAGAGAAAAAAAGGAAAGAGTGTGATTATCGTGTATACCAGCCAGCATGCAGGAAATTGCAACATGGAGGAAGGAGTGGGAGAATTGGAAACTATATTGAAGGGGGCTTTTGAGCTGGAGGCTTGTGACTCCCAAAGCACTGGGGGAAAGTGAAGCTTTCCCAGCTTCAGGGACCCGGCTGAGGCCCTGCCTCTGTCTCTCCAGCAACTCCAGGGGGAAGCTCCTGTTCTGTAAGACATGCATATAAGGCCCCAGGCCCAACAGGCAAGTTTCCAGTGAGGAGTGCAGCTCTGGACCCTTCTCCCTAATCCCCATGCCCGCTCCACCCCACCTAGTCCAGAACATCCAGCGATTCCCACCACCAGAGACTCACTGCAGAACAGCCCACTCGAGCACAGGGAGGAAGGAAGGGGCTTTAAGAAGTCAGAAGCCTCTTGAGACTACACCGCCTAGTGTGCAGAGAGGGTTAACCACAATACTTCTACCTGGTCACACTAACAATGAAATAATGGGTATCAACTGTCATCTCTGATACTACATGGGCTTAGAGCCCTCAAAAGGCATTTTCTGTTAATGTAAGATGGTCATCTTACCAAATGCTATAATCAGCATTCAGGGGAATTCATGAAAAAAAGATCCTCTTTAGGATAAGATGACAAAACGATATGCTTCTTCTACCTTTTGAAATTCTTTAGAAATTCATGGATAGTCAAGCCCAAGAGAGAAAGAGCATGTGTGAGTTAAAAGAAAAACAAAAATAATCAAAAACACTCCCTAAGGCCCTGTAGGGCCACGGTGCCTTCAGCAAGTGCCTGCCCTGCCCCCTGGGTCCCTGTGGTGAGGTGGCCTTTCTAAGTCTGAGGAGTCCAGAGCAGCTGGGACTTTTCTAAGGGTGGCCACAGCACCCTCTGCTGGAGGCCTGGGGAAACCAGGCTGCACTTACCTAGACACAGCCAGAGCTGTCACTGCAGGGCTGGTCTTGCTGGGTTTCCCAGTCAAAGCCAAGCTGACATCCAGCTCTCTACTCAGGGCAAGGTTCTTTTCCCACTTGTGGCCTGCGTAAAGCGTGTGAGAGAATAGTTAGAACACCCGAGTGGCTTCACATATGAGCCTGTGTGCATCCACACATGGAACCACAAACACATACACACATATTTATATTTGTGGTCAGCAACTTGTTAAATTGAGGGGGAAAATATATTTAATCTTGGCCTGTGCTGTTGCAAAAAGGGCCGTCCCAATTTAATTTGCAGGCTGTGATAGTTACATGTGCTGACGTGCCGCGGTATCCATTGTGTACCAAATTGGATTTGTGTATTATTGCTTTCTAAATTGCATGCCTAGTTCAGCAAAATTGTTCATCAGTGTTTACTGGCTTTATGCTTAATAAGATGCCCCATAATACCTTGCTGCCAGGATGTAATGCAGCCCGTAATTGCTTAGTAAAAATAAATTACATAAAGTCGACATTATCAACTTATCTAAATCCTCTCACGCCACAACCAATAATTAAATGCTGAGAACGTTTTTTCAAAAAATATAACTCAATGACTGTTACTTCACTCATTTTAATGACTGCATTTGGGGACAGACAGCAATTCCTTCAACATAAAGTGTGAGATGGAGAGATACCAGCTGGGTATGTGCCTATAAGGCCACTTTGCTGGACTTGGGGCAGGAGGCCCCAGATGTTCTGCAATGGTCACCTACATATGCAGACAGGCCCACACACCAGGAAATTCAGGAGGGCTACAAGTTGGGGAAGCTGCCTTGAATTAGAACCAGGCATTTGTAAATTCCTGTACAAGTCCAAATAACAAGCATTTCCTGACTTCTTTTTAGGTACCAGATTGAGTCCAGTCTAGGAGGTGATTTCTGGAATAAAATGTACCCAACTGGGTTGGTCCTTGCTGCAAATGACAAATAAATGAATTCCAGGCAGAAATTAGATTACCTCTGCCCACAAATGCAGTCTCCTTAATATCATCAAAGATCTCCTTTCTTGCCCCTTAAGACATTTGAGGGGATACAATAATATAAACAGCAAGAGGACACACGTGCAAATATCTATGTGTCATGCTTAATACTGATCCCTTTCCAACAAAACAGTTTTGAGCAATATTATAAGAACAACATGCTTCCTTATTAAAGACCTCCAGCAGGTTAGGTTTGCAAATCTGYGCATAGATTTGTTGACTCTCAACTACAGCTCAATCTAATTTTTTTGACTATGTCTGCGCCATGGTGTCATTTTATCCTAATCTTTCCTGTAATGATAACCGCCATCCTGGCAGTCAGTTGAGTGGGGCATGGTAATCTCAGATGGGGACAGACAGCAGGGGAAGGATGGTGTCCACTGCAACCATTCTGTAATTTCCCTTATGGTACTGGCTGTTATGTTCAAAGAGAATACATTGTCAGGAGTCTGAGAAAATAACAACCATGACCGGCATTTGTGAATTCTTGTCTATATCAATTGGTTTTCTGTCATCAGTACCCTACAAGACAGGAAATGTCTCCATTTGACAGAGAGGAGAGGGGGCTAGACAAGTTTCTGGGACAGAGTTGGGTCTAGAGCCTCATTCCCCACTTCTCATTTGCTAGACCCCATGGCCAATGGATGCAGCTTCATCRTAATTGTTTACACTGAATAGAGACCTGGGAGTCCAATGGCATGTCTAGATAATGGAATGGCTGTGAGATGCCTTTCCTTCACCTGTCCATCCACCCATCCACCCCTCCACCAATTTRTCTACCATTCATTTGGGGGCATCCATCTATCAACCATGGACTAAACTAATCCCTTTCGCTTATTGGGCCTGGATRGGTTCAAATAGGAAGTTGATCCTAAAACCAATATGGAGTGCAGTCTCATGCAGGTGTATTCCATGTAATCACTACAAACAAGCCTTCATCCTGAACGCTGGTACAAAACTTTCTCTCTCAGCTCCCTGGTTTCGTTAAAATTCATAAGGCTTATACTTCTCTTCTTTTCCACTGAAATGGGCTGATTCCTCATGGTYTCCAAGCACCCTAGGGATTCTAGGATAAGTTTATTGAATGTGGTTCTTAGTCAGTGGTGTTAGTCCTCTGGATCACCATAGATTGTTGACAAGGGTCCCTGGATGGTGTTATTTTGAAGGAAGGAATTCCCAGTGTAGAGCCTATGACAAAGCATGGGCTGAGGGGTTGTCCTATATGCTTACATAATAAAAGAGCCATGTTTTTGCATAACAAAACCAACTATCCATGAATTGATGACTAAATGAATCAACCAATTATGAGATATTTTTAAAAATCATTGAAAATGGCTCCTATTTTCAGAAGACAACCTTCAGAAATCAGGGAAATTCTCTCCTGTGAATGATCACTTGTTGGAAAGCAGAACAAACAGGGAGCCAGCTACCAGAAGGGGTCAGTGTGATAGGAGATCTCTCACTTCACTATAGGATGTTTCYTTTTGATTGTGGGCCCAGGAAAGATGTCTCAGTTCTTGGCTGGAATCTTTGATGAAGCCAGAGCTGAGAGAGAAGTTTGGCTGCACTGGAGAAAGCCGTGGTGGTGAATATTAGGTAGCTGGTCAGCCATGAATGGGTGAGCAGGGAAAGGACAATAAACAGTGACTGTTGTCCAACAAGCAAGGCCTCATCCAACAAGCAGGCCCCTGAAAGTTTGGGGCCTGTTATGTCACCTCCTGCCCCTCGGCCATCATTACATCCCCTTAAGACAAACTATTGTTTCAAAATCATGTCACACCCTACCAAGTGGCTTRGACCCTTTCTTATCATAAAAACTATGTCACAACTCCCAGTCACTCTGACTCTTACAAAGAAAGTTTATCTAGGGTTATTCAAAGACTAATAAATCAACTAAGCGGGCAGGGAATTCATGCAAAAACAGGGGGGCTCAATTTCCTTGAACTCTGCCTCTGTGGGCACCACACCATCCTCTATTCCAGGGGGTCCTAGCAGTTCCTCTGCTGTCAGTCAAAAGTCAGAAGATGGACCTGGGCCAGTCTGACAGTACATGCCTGTAATCCCAGTGATTCAGGGGGCTGACAGGAGTATCACAGGTTCAAGGCCAGCCTCAGCAACTTAGTAAGCCCTTCAGCAACTTAGTGAGACCCTGTCTCAAAATAAAAAATAAAAAGGGCTGAGGATGTAGCTCAATCGTAAAATGCCCCTGGGTTCAATCCCAGTACTGAAAAAAGGAAAAAAAAAATAGATGGACCTGGGAAGGACTCTCTGGAAACTTCCCTGGGACTTCCAATAGAACTGGAGGGCAGGAGGGGTGTGCCCTCCTTCTCTCTGAGAGGATCTACTCTCTCCCTTGAGAGTGTCCTCTTTACCCTTTTCCTACCCTTTCTAATGAACTCACTCCAGCTACTCTGAGTCACATGTCTGAAATCTTTCTGGCAAGATGGCAAGAATTGGGGTAACCAGACAGAGGTGGTGGAAGAGGTGCAGCTTTGATGGTGTGTTTTGTGCCTGTGTTCATGGTGGAGGGGTTGGTGGTCCTGATCCCACATCAGAGGTTGGCATGATCCTGCAGTGGTTGGTGTGGATGCTCTAGTGGCAGAAGTTGAGAAGATGGTAACTTTGGTTGCTAGGTAACTTTGGGCAAGTTGCTGACCTCCCTGTTCCTCAGTTTTCTTATCTTCATCAAATGGTAGTGATATCTACTACAAAGGACTGCACGAGAAATGAGAAAATGGGTGAGAAGTGTTTGAGGTGGAAGCTGCACAGTCAGCTCTCTGCCATCTCAGCTTTATAATGGTGGCCATGGTGGCACTTGTGGCGAGGCTATGAGGGCAGAAGGTGAAACAGGTTTTCTTACTTCAGTCTTATTTACTACAACTCAAAGTGGGCTTTGCTGCAGAACAGTGGTTCTCTTACTTTAGGGGCACACCACACATGTAAATGCTAACAACACCCAATCTTTTCCAGTGGGTTAGACTGAGTAAAAGGATGRGGATCTATATTTTTAATAAGCCTCTTGCATTTTTTAATATGTTCTCACAGATGCAGATGATCTACTTTGAGGAATTTGCCATGGAGAATTGGGTGGGTGGATCCAGGTCAACGGGGCAGTCTAGGGCATGATGGAACCACTTCTTCAACCCTGGGGAAGTGTCCCTTCCCTTACTCCTATCTGCAGCCTGGCTGTCCAGGCAAGTAGGAAGCAGGTTCCAGGTTGTGGGCTGGGGAGTCTGGCATTCCAGAGCCACCCAGGCAGATGAAAAGCATCAAACCAAGATCACCAAATTATGTTTTCCCCTCTGAAGCTCAGGGTTACCTGACATCCACCACATACCACCCCTGTGTCCAAGGAGCAGCCCAGGGGTCACTGGTTCTTGCAAGAATGAGGTGAGGACTCAAGAGGGTCTCTCATAATGCTTTACATTTCAGCAGAAACTTTCAGTAAATAAACAGTCTCTTGTTCCCAAACCTGGCAGCAATCTCCAGAGCCTTAATGGCTTCCCTAAGCTCTGCAGACCTGGGTGGAATTGCAGCCGTGGGCCAAAAGCAGAGAGAAGGGAGGGAAAGAGGGTAGTTTGCAAGGTAAAGGTGGTCTCCTCCTGGCCATGCAGGTACCTCTGGGGCTTGGAGGCTGAACTGAGGTCTCCTCTGCCGCTGTCTGCCTGGGAACAGACATTTTCACATCCTCAGTCTTCCAAATCTGTCCAGAAAAGAGAAAATATCATCAGCTGGGGAAATTATCATGTCTGCAGGCTGGGAGTGGCCCAACCTATTCTTTTACACTGGGAGGATCCTGAAGAAAGGGAAAGGGGCTGCCTTCTAACCCTTTCACTTCTGATGTTAATTTATCACCAGGGATGGTTTAGACTCCAGTTCCCCCTTGTGGAGGTTCAGTTGAGAACAATGGCAGTATAGGTAGATTCGTTCCCACCTCTAGATCACTACGTACTCTCCCTCCATCCCTGTCCCTGTACTGTGGAGACTCTGAAGTCAGTTTATTGTCAGATTACTAAGTTAACATCCTCTTGTTCCTAATTTCACCTCCTGGTTMTTTGTATCTGGGCCTTGGTCCCAATACCTGCATGTGGGTGCTCTCAGGCCAACTGCATGTGGCTTCTTACTGGATTTTTATCACTAAGGGAGAAGAACCAGCCTCCACTCAAGTGATGATTCTGTGAGCTTCTACTAGGCTTCATACAGCAGTGGTTGATTCAGAAGCTCAATGATCTTGTTGAATGAATGAGTGCTGAGTACACAGAAGACTCCCACTTGTGCCCAGAAAAGAGTGTACCTGCCACCCAACTACCCTAGGCTCCTCTGGCTGACCCACAGGTTGAGACAACACCCCATGAAGCATGGATCCTGGGGCTCTTTGGAGCAAGTAGGCAAAATGGAGATGGAGATATTTCCTGTGTCATGTCCTCATTCTGCCCAAGACACACTTACCCGAACTATGCCATCGTGACTCCCAGTGATGATGACATAGTTTGTGTCCCATGCTGGCCCCTCCATCAGGCAGCAGCAGTTTATGGCTCCTTCTGGACCCCAGGCTGTGGTGATGCTGGCCAGGGGCTGTCCATTGACATTCCATAGAGACAAGTGGGCTCCAGCACAGGAGACAATGGTGCCCTGCAGCAGTGAGAACAGGCTTTACCCTAAGCTAGAGTCACTGCTAGCCCATCTGCCACTTGCTTAGTCACTCACTTTGTATATCCAAGCACCCCAAACTACCATCTTGTAAAGACCAACTAAGGTCTCTCAAGACCCCCTAAGTCATCACCTCTTTTCAGCTAATTCATAGGTCTGTTGTATCTTCACACAATTATAAATTCTTTGCTTATTTCATACTGCAATTATGTGTTTGGATATTGCTTTCCCCAGCAAATGTTGAATGGCCCACCTTTCGGGCTCTCCCAGCTCCCTCTCCTAATCTAGTGGCCATAGAAGACTCAGCCTGAAGACCACCCCTGGCTCTTGACATAACATGGCTCTTGTATAACATGGTTGGCCACTCCTGTTCCCAGAAAGACATTTTGGAGTTCCTCTGGTGGAGGGCGGGGTACAGAGGCTCAAGTGACTGCACATGGTTCATAAACTCATGCAGTGCCCCTCAGGAGGAACTCTCTGAGGAGACCCGTTCCCATTGTATCTCTGGAAAAGTTTACATTCAGAGGCTTTGTTAAGGTCTGTAAATAAGTCAAAAATAACACCTGGTATTTTGCCAGAGAAATGTTAGAGTTCGTAAACAAGTCTGGATGGTGCCTGGCAAAATGTCAGAGGGAGTGGTTTGAGAAGTAACAAAAGTGAGCCATTAAGTGTGGAGATTCCTTATAGGCTGATTGACGTATCTAGTTTATGCTGATTAAGATAAGCTGTGCAAATCTTATAAATAGCTCTGTTGTCCTACAATAAACGGCTCCTATTCCTGCTGTATCAACCTGCACAAGTTATTCGTCACCCCCCGGYTATTTTGCTGCAGCCGGACCCCGGCAAGGCTTTGCTTTCCAAGCCCTGTCTATCCTGTACCCAAGAAAGTAGTGGCCCTGCCTTTAAGCCTTGCCAAACTACAGAAGGGATGTAGTAAGCTTAGTGCCCTCCCTAAAACTGTGCCCTATTGTGGCACTTTCTGAATTGCTAGGGATAGACTGCCTGAAGCCAAGGATTATGTCTAAAATATCTCTGCCCTGCTCCCAGCCCTGGGCCTAGAAAGCACATCCTGAACTCATCTGACTCCAGGACAACTTGCCTTGATGCCAGTGTTCTCCTGGGTTTAGGAGCACAATTAATTATGCGTTTTATGTTCTCCAGATCAGGGAATGGGGCCTTCCCCAATACATCAACTCATCTACCTATTCATTTACCACATACAAATCCATCATTTGTTCATCAGTCCTCCATCTGCTCATCCATTTATGCCCTCACAAATCCATCTATCCACATTCCCAACTATTTGTCCATCCATCCATCCATCCATCTATTTACCTACCATCCATCCACCTATTCATCCTTCTATCTTTCTACCTATCCATCCATCCATTCATCTCCCATCCACACATCTAACATTAGTTCTATATTCAAGCCTACGGGGGAACAACACTTCCAGCCAAAACTGGTACCAGAAGGTTCTTTCATATTCTCCCCTTCTCATTTGAGCTTTCTGCTCACATTATCCATGCACTCAGCCCTGGGGGTTTTCTACGAGTAGAGGTAGAAAGCTCTGTGTCTCAGGGAGCCCATGCCCCACAAAGGGGCTTCAAACTAGAAGAAACTGCACACTGATGTACATATTTCTCTGTCTTSTCACACACACGTCCCTGAGAGGTTCACCTTTGCTAGCCAGCATGGAGGCAAAAACAGGGCACCAGGTTCAATAACTGACAGAGAGACCACAGACATTTGTTCATTCAACACTGAATTGCAGTTAGGAAGATAACTTCTTCAGCCATGCCTACCAGATACTTCTGCCCCACTCCCTGATGCCTATGCTAGACCAGACACCTCCCACTGCCCTAAACTCCCTGGGAACAGAAGGTGACAAAGTAAAAATTAAAGCTAGTCTCAGATGTTCCCCATGCTCATCTGTATCATCTGTAGTGAATGGTCTGTACATGTGAGGTCCTCTACACTCTGATCAGCATCTCTTTTGTCCCCAGGTTTTCTCTTGGAATATTGTTCAACATGCTACCATACAGATTCAAAGTCATGGGAGGCCACAGAATGAAGAAATAGGAGCTTTACCGAGATGTCACTGATAGCGATGGCTGAGATGCCCTCCTGGTGGGGAGGCAGGCGAGCCACATAGCTGAGGAGGTCCAGGTCCCACAAGATGCAGGTGGCATCCTGGGAGCCGCTCACCAGGAGGCTAAAGGCAACAGATGCTGCCAGGCATGTGACAGCCTGRGAGTGTCCATATAAAGCCTGGGGACAGGAAAGAGAATCATGAGTTATGAGAGGGGGTCCTCAATCCAGCTACCTGAAAGGACTCCCTAACTTCCATTTTACTCTTGGTCCCAGATGAGAAAACAGATTCAGCATGATTCAGTGACTCCAGAGCCTAAGTGTGGACATGTGCATGTGCAGGTGTGCAGGTCCACTGCTGGCATCTGGGTTTCATCCATTTCCAGAGGTTGAGGCCCAGATGGGGAGAATCAATGGTCCCTTTATGACAACCCAACCAGGGGCTAGCAGTGTCCTTATGCTTTGTCTTCCCCTGAATTCATCTGAAATCCAAAGCAGTCCATAACATGATTAAGTTTCAACAGATAAAGTTGAGACATATAAAGTCTCAACAGACCAGCAGCCTCAACAGCATCTGGAGTTTGCTGGCTATGCAAATTATTGGGCTATACCCCCAGACCCACTGAATCAAGTGCTGAGGGTGAGGCCATGTAATCTGCATTATCACAAGCCCTCCAGGGGATTTTCAGTGCATGCTCAAGTGGGAGATGCATCCCTCTAGGAAACTCAGAAACAAATGTGCTTTTGAACTAAACAGAAGGAGGAAAGGAGGTCAAGTCATGTCAAAAAGTTTTGACTTTTTGAGTATGATGGATCTGGGTTCATGTCCAGCGGGGACTTAAGGCCTTGCTCTTGGCCCTCAGGTTTATCTAATTTGGGACTTGGCCTGATTCATGAATGGTTTCATGTTCAGATCTGGCTGGAGGCCTTGGTTTCTCTGTACGTGTTCCTAAGGGGCTAAGGTACCCCTGGGCCAATTGCTGCTGGTAATTGTGAATATTCCATCTCAAGCAACCCAGAAAGCCTGATCTGAGACTCTCTATGCTATACATGCTTGCTGTTCCCTGCAATAAGCCATGGGGTTATAGAGGTGGTATTATGGAATGTGACTGTCCTGGCTTACCTAGTGGCAAACCTCCACCCTTAGGGCACAGACAACTGCTCACTCATTTGGGTCAATGAGGCTGAGCATCATTTTTCAAAGCTGTCAATTTGCCTGATCAAAGCAATTAAAATTTTCAGCCACAGGTTCTTGTTTGTCCTCAATGGATCCTAATGTGACACCAACCAGATGGTGATGGCAAATTTTTGCACATGATCCATGGAAGAAGATTTGGGTTGTTTCAGGAAAATGGAAACTATCTAAATAAACAGAAGAAAGAGAGGATTTGACAGGACTTTCTGATCCTCTTCCCAGAATGAACTAAGTCTGATGATTACGTTCTCACCACAGAAACACAGCAACTCCAAAGGGGGGACAGAAAAGGGCTCCCTGCTGGGGACCCAGGGAAAGCAGCTCTGAGAATGCACCTTACACRGGGCAGCTTGTGTACACAGCACTGCCCACTCAGTTACCCAGCCTATCAGCTATGGCAATAGAAAGCATTGGGCCCCCCATCATTTGGAAAGCAAGGGAAATCAAGGAAGTTTACAACACTTTTAAATGTGTTCCCTGTGGGCTCTTTAGTTTTTCGGAATAATACTTCTCTATAGGCCAATTAAAATATCTTTATTATATCATCTTATACCTAAATAAAGTAGCAAAAACTAAATGTAATCAAATAAAAACCTCTCAAAATAATTCCTCATGATGATTATGTTGCAATGAGATGGGTACTCTTAATTAATTGTTGGTGGCATTGTAAAGTTATAGAACCATTTTGGAAAACATTATGTCACTGTGCAGTAATTCTACTCCTCAAAATTTATCATAAGGAAAACAATCAGAAGCAAACAAGATGTTTTCTGCAGCATTATTCAAAATTGCTAAAACTTGGAAATAACTTAATTGTTTTGTTTTAGAAGAAATGGTTTATTAAACTATGGTGTACTGACATAACAAAACAATTGAAATGTAATTTTATGGAAATGAAATAATCTGGAACAATTGAAATGTAAATTATAGAGGCTGTAGAAAAAAATAAAAACAAATTGATAGGCTAGGTGGGTAAAAATGGAATAAAAATATCTACACAAAGATCAGAAAAGTATAAATATGTATATCAGGGATTGCAGTATGCAAAAAATGAAAACTTTGGGGCAGATTATAGAGAGTTGTCTTTGAAGTGAATTTGAAATTTCTCCTTAATGTTGTAATATCTTTAAACAAGTTGTTTATGAAGTTATTTAATGATGACTTCTCTGTCTACAGGTCAGGGAGGGATCTCTTTACTGAGTACCCAATGGTTTGGGGGAATCCCCAAGGCCACATGAGACTTTACAGGAAAATGATAAAGCGTTTTATCATTTAGTCTAGAAAGTAAGAGCATGTGAAATTCCCTATGCCCTTTTCTCTGGATTTGGAGCTAGGAGAGGATGATACATTGCATTTTTATGGTTTCAATATCATGGGCTCTCTGGCACACCTTTACTGCTAAGGGGGAGTTCAGAGTAGCTTCAGAAGGGTCATCTCCAAGGTCAGGATGAACTGCCTGCAGTCTCTGGGGTGAGCCATAAATAGGTATCAGTGATGCTTGAGAGAGGAGGGCACTCGGCTTTCATTTCCAGTCTCTTAGACCAGGCCACTGACAACTGATTGGTATTGGGACCAG